GCCCTAAGTTTGGAAATGGGGAGGGGGATCTGACACTGAATCATGCTCAGAGGGACCTGGGCCCAGTTTTAATGACTGGCACGGGACAGCAGGTACACAGCCTTGAGTTTGCCATTCTGAATCCCCCCCCCCAATTATGAGACTTGAGTCCAACAGTAGATTTACAAGGACTTCTAGGCAGTCAACCTGGATTGGACTATAATGGCTCAGAATGTTTTTCTGCATGCCCTGTTTGCTCACGGTTCTTGTCTGCTGCCAGACACAGACCGGACAGCCTGTTTCCCATATTCGCTAATGAATAATCTTGTGAGAAAATGCTGGTCGAGCCCTACAGTGCCAACCTATAGGAGCAAGAAGCGATCGTGTGATGGGAATGAGACTTGCAAAGAACTGACATTCTTAAAAACGAACATCCAACCAAAAGTTCTGCAACTTAAGCTCATTTGATCTGGTCTTGCCCTCTGGAGCAGCAGAGAAGAAATCTTGGCCCTCTCCTATAATTCCTTCGAGCATCAGAAGCGCGTGATCAGTTTTCTCTTCTCCAAACTAAGGAGACCCAGTGCCTTCAACCATCCGAGTTGCCCATCTTCACTGCCCTCCTGCAAACCCATTCCGATTTGTCTATGTACTTCAAATGTGGTACCCAGAACTCCAGATGAGGATCACAGACATTCACACGTGTACAGCACAGGCATGCTACAGGAAAACAGCAATCATATTTTGGAGCTGTCCATACTCTGGAAAATATGGCATTCTAACTTTGTTTCCTGCACAGTGCAATCGACGGCCAAACTACACTTGATGAGAAAAAAATTAAACCCATGTTTGGATCCACATATGTTTTGCTGAGCTACAGTAAAGGATGCCAGGGTGGAGTGGTGGTGAGGAATAATATGGACTGAGGCTACAGTAGTATGGTATTTGGGAGTTAACTCTTCCTCCATGCCATTTTCCCCAGTCCAAAATGTCCTCCTCCCCCAACGGCTTTAAGCTCGTGCTGGGAAATACCAGGCACGATACAGATATCTGCCTTTTCTCTCTGCTGGGGTGAAGGTAAAAGGTAAAGGTTCCCTTGCTCGAAAGCCAGTCGAATCCGACTCTAGGGTTGCGGTGCTCATCTCCGTTTCAAAGCCGAAGAGCCAGCACTGTCCGAAGACGTTTCTGTGGTCATGTGGCCGGCATGACTAAACACCGAGGCGCACGGAATGCTGTTACCTTCCCACCGAAGTGGTCCCTATTTATCTACTTGCAATTTCTTGCTTTCGAACTGCTAGGTTGGCAGGAGCTGGAACTAGAGACGGGAGCTCACTCCGTCATGCGGCACCCGGGTCTTGAACTGCTGAACTACCGACCTTCCACAGCCTGCAGTTCAGCGTCTTAACCACTTGAGCCACCGCAGCTCCGCTGGGGTGAAAGGGAAGGAGAATTCCAACTGGGAAAACCAAACAGAGGGGAAGACTTAAACCTCCCCTTCCCCAGTGCTATGGGTTTGATCTACATCACATATCTTTGAGAGTGTTTAAAAATTAAATGCGGGTTTCCACCTGCATCTTGGAATATCTGACAATAAATAACAGTATTTACTGATAGCCCCTCACCTGCCTGGTACCGCGTGTATGACTACCTCAGTATTGCAGTTAACAACCTTTAGTCGTGATGGGATTTTCCAAAAATTGCACGCTCAAGTAGTTGATACATACGCAACAAAGCCCATGGAGGAAATTAGCCCGGTGATGTATTTATCAACTGTCTGAAAGTGCAATTTTTGGAAAATTCCATCACAACTAAAAGTTCTATGTTGACTGCAATACTAAGGTGATTATATGTGCTGTACCAGGCAGCCGGCTTCGGCTGGGAGGGCGGGGTATAAATTTGATAAATAAATCCATAAATAAATAAAGGCGAGGGAGTGATCAATAGATACTGGCATGGCTCTTTTTGTAACAGGAACTCCTTTGCATATTAGGCGACACACCCCTAATGTAGCCAATCCTCCAAGAGCTTACAGAGCTCTTCTTACAGGGGCTACTGTAAGCTCTTGGAGGATTGGCTACATTAGGGGTGTGTCATCTAATATGCAAAGGAGTTCCTGCTACAAAAAGAGCCCTCCGCATCGTCCATGGCTGGATCAGCAGCAGAAGCAAAAATTGGGGCCTTAGGACAGGAAAAGAAGAAGAGAGAACTACCTCCCCACACCAGTCTGAATCAAAAGCATGCTGAAAAATATATCATGCTGGGGAGCAGGATGGAGAGGGGACAGATAGCAAAGAACAGGGGTCCCCAACTTTTCTGAGCCTGCGGGCCTGTTTCGAATTCTGACAAAATGGCTTCCACCGGAGGTGAAGCCACCACAAAATGTCAGGGGGCGAGGTTATTCAGGACCCTCGTGGCAACATTTAAGGGAGCCACTCTGTTTAGCGGGACACCATTTAATATGCACAGCCAATCAGAAGCCCTGCTGTGCACAAGCCTGGCCCCACCCACTTTCTAAAAGCACTTGACAAGTGCCAGGAAAGGTGCTGACGGGCCCCGTGCCGTACCCAGGGACCACATTGGGGACCCCTGGCATAGAGAATTATGGGATGGAAGAAAACAAGCCAGATGCATTTAAAACTGTCAACGCTCAGCAGTTACCTGTGCTTCGCTCATCCTTTCAGTTCTTAACTACAGAGACAAGAGTGTGCATGTGGAATAGGACAGAACAGAGGGAGGGAAAAATCCAGTTAATTCAAGGAACAGATAAGGAATAAATTAGCAAGGAAAAGTGAGATAGTTGGAACAAGTTAGCCGTAGGATCCAAAGACTTGTTTTTGAGCAACCAGAGCAACCTGGCCAATTTTTTTTTTTTTAAATTAAGGTACAGTTTTAAAAGTTTGACCCCTGATCTAACTCAGGAAGAAAGAAAAACTGGGTTGGGTTCAAGGTCTACCAACAAAAACAGAGAAATGCTACGGGTGATTTCCCACAAGCGCTGCTCCGCGCTCACTCTTCTCTTTGGCCTGATGGTACGTGTCAATTTCACACAAGCTGCTGCGCGACCGCATTTTGCCCCGCAGCTTCGTGCGATTTCCCCCGCGTCTACTCAATCCTGTTTTTTGAGGACTGAGTAGACGCGGGGAAAATCGCACGAAGCTGCGGGGCAAAATGCAGCCGCGCAGCAGCTTGTGTGAAATTGACACGTACCATCGGGGCAAAAGGGAGGAGTGAGCGCGGAGCAGCGCTTGTGGGAAATCACCCTACATCTTTCTTTGGAGGTTTGTATTCTGACAGCACCCTGAACTGGATAGCCTAGCCCAATCTCCAAGGAATACCAGGGGCATGACGCAGAGGCAGATAACAGCAAACTAACTTTGAATGTCTCTTGTTTTGAAAACCCTACAGGGTCGCCCTAAGTCACCTGTGACTTGACGGCACTTTCCACCATAAATAAATGAATAAAAATAAATTATGACAGAAGAAGCCACATAGCTTAGACATCCTAATTGCTAAATGGCATCAAGAGGGATCTGTTTTCACTGGGAGGGGTTTTCCATTGATGATGCAATGAAGAAGACGACGACGACAAAGAGATTGGATTTATACCCTGCCCTTCACTCAGACCCTCAGAGCGGCTTACAAACTCCTTTCCCTTCCTCTCCCCACAACAGACACCCTGTGAGGTAGGTGGGGATGAGAGAGCTCTTTCCAGAACTGTCCTTGAGAGAACAGCCCTGACAGAACTACGGCTTGCCCAAGGTCATCCAGCAGCTGGAAGTGGAGGAGTGGGGAATCAAACCCGGTTCTCCCAGATTACAGTCCACGCACTTAACCACTACATCAAACTGGCTCTCAAGAAAAAGACCCTCTCTGTTTCTTGCAGGGAGGATATCCAATTTCTCATCTTGGAACTTCCATTTACCTCTTTTCTAAATTTAATGTCAGCAGTCAGTGCTCTGGTTGAACTAAAAACAGATCTCAGAATCATACTTTTACATGACATGAGTACGAAATGCACACACAGTCACACAAATTACAGAACTCTACAAGTGAACTCACTACCGGACGTGGTCTGGCATGGGAAAAACAAATGCTCGTCTAAGGCAGACAGCGTCTAGACTGCACATAACCCCCCAAACAGAAATACATTTACGAATAAATGTTTTTCTTCTGCTGAATGAAAAGCTACAATGGCAAAATAAAAAAACAACAATAATGCTAGTGCTTCTAAGGGAAACGGAAGACGACGATATGAACTATGGAGGATGGTGGAGGTGAAGAAAATCTGGTCTTACCAGTAAAGAATATAGGGGAATTACTGCGAATTTCCTCCAGTTTTTCAGCAAACAAAGCGTTCATTTCCCTCTGAAGGGTGCCCGCTTGCTTCCTGGAGCTCTCGGGCCAGCGTGCAGGGAATTCAGGGCTTCCCAGGCTCTCCAGGCTGCTGGAGTCGGAGGATACGGAGCCATTGCTGGCAGTCACCAAGTTGACAGTGCTTCCGTATTTGCCACCAGGCTGACCCTGCCACCTCTGCCGAGAATGACCTTTCACCCCGGGGCATTTGGAGTCACTGTTTTTCTTTCCCGAGGTTGCAAAGGGCTGGCAGGTCCTGGGTAGGTCCCCGGTAGCCCCGTAGCCACCACCAAGCTGAAGATCTGACCGCGGCCGAGGCTGCTCTTGGATCCCCCAGTTTTTTAGCTCTAACCTCTCCTCCTCTCCTGTTAGGCTGCTATACTGGTTGCAGCACGGAGTGTCGCCAGAAGCAGGCCGAGCGGTGGAGTGGTCGCCCCACTTGCACTCCAGATCGGGGCTCTCGCTTGAGCCGATCATGCATTTCATGCAGTTGGTGGCCATGCCGATCCTACCCGATCCGTTGAAGGCACAGCGGGCAAAGACCCCCTGCTTCTCGTCTGGCGGCTCCTGAAGGCGGACCCTGTTGGACCTCCGGATGGGCTCGCTGAATGTCGCCTCCCCGTGCGCACGGGTCTGGCTGTTTTTACTCTTGCCAAAACTTTGGGCCTTACCTTTCAACCCCTTTCCTTGAACCTCTCTGTTGGCATCGTCTCGAAAAGGTGGTGCTGGTGACGCGCACTCAGGCTCTTGATCAAAACGAGGGCGGGAGGAGTCTTCAACTTCGCGGTCCTCGCTGGCCCCTTCGGAACTGTTGTCTTTGGTGTCGATGGCAATCTCGGGGAAGCCCTTCTTGGGTTTCTTCTGGCTCTTGGTGGGTGCACTGGCCGTTCGCCGTAAAATGTGGCTGCTAAAGGAGTGTTTGCGATTGAACTGGCCAGCAGCATGACTGTCGAGAGAGGCCTGCTTTGGATTTCTGAGAAATAGACCTTTTAAGCCCAGAGCTTGCTTGACCTGGAAAATAAAAGAAAATCCCCGTAACAGAAGATGTGCATTTCAGAGGACATGCAAAGAGGCAAATAGCAGTGATGTGCGAGGGGTTAACCTCGCGGGGGAGCATCATCTATCCAGGTTTGACTGGGAGACAGAATTAGGAGGAAGGCAGGGCTGCAGTTTTCGTTTCAAAGTTTCGCATTCGTGTTGTCCTGCTTATGGGTTTTTCTGCATTTTGTTCCTGTTCACTAGTGACTCTTGCAGTCAAAATCATATGCATACTTGCATGGACATTAAGTCCCAGTTACTTTCAGTGGGGCTTTAGTTCCTCCTAGTACCCTGGTAAGCCAATTTGAGGGAAGGGTAGAGAACTGCAACTGAGGACCCACCAAAGCGGTGTGTGGGCAAATTCCGTGGCCACGGCCACAGCCAACTTTCCCTATATATACTTATTTTTCCTCTGAGTTAGCAACTTGGAGAAGGTGGATAAAGGACCACCCGCTGCTGATGCCTAGCTAAGTACATGTGATAGGGCTGCAACCTTAAATGTTGCTAATTTATTTATTTGTTTATTAGATTTGTATCCCGCCCTCCCCAGATGGGCTCAGGGTGGCTTCCAACAGCGGCAAATGCCATAACAAACAATTAAAACAGTATAAAAACAATCAATAAATAAAGTGCGGTGCTCTAGATGTTGACTCTAGATGTGCGGTGCTCTAGATGTTAATCTAGCTGCAAAGATGTAATACTATTAAAGCTCACTGTTCTGTCCCTAAAGATGGGTGCATTTAACAGGCATATAATATGTCAAATATACTTAACTCCTTTTGATACTGAACCGGAATTAGATGGCTTCAAAGCCATTGGAATCCACAACAACCCGCTGATTTTTTTTTAAAAAAAACCCCACCTAGTTCCCATGCCCTGAAAGACATGTCAATAACCACTGCCCACCTGGTCCAGACAATTTTTTTAAACATGGGATTGAAATACAGAAAGGATATAAATGTGCCCTGTGGCATCATTGTGTGGTGCAAAGCGACAAGGTGCTTGGATGTTTTAGCAAAGGTGGGGAAACACTCCCACTGTCTCTTTAAATGCACCACACAACTTTTGCATTCCTACCAATCTCTCGTTGGTTGCCCACGACTCGTGCTGCAGAGGAATCATCCGTTGTAAACAAGCAAAGTCATAATGCATAGAAAATTGCACATTTAATTGTACCCATGACACATTCATTACAGGCAATTCTCGGAGATGAGTTTTCCCTACCTACCCGCCCGGTTTAGAATTTGGTGAAACAGGAGGGTGACCACAAGTGATAGCTTTTCAGATACTTGTTGGCCAAATGACAGCGCCATCGTTGCTACGGGGTCCCGGAGTTCCATTCTCGCCTGTCGCACTGTGATCTTTGATCCTGTAAGTCCCACTTGGCATTCGGTGGTCTTTCAAAAGCTTGCAAGACCAATTTGATCAAAAACCTGTGAAACCCATTTGACCAGAAGCCACAGTGAGGGGTGGGGGGAAAGATGTTTACTGCAGACAACAATGGCTTTGCCATACTGCCTTCAAGGCCCTGAAAAAGCATCACTATCCAACACTCCTGTGGACATTTCACGTGCACTTGCCAGCTTGTGGATAAGGGATGGTTTGTGTGAAACTTCTCATAAACGTGTTTCTGCCTTGAGATTATGGGACTGGGGGGTTATTCACATATGATCATTTGAAATGACGAGATGAAAATGCCTGAGAGTTTCCTCTTGTTCTCTTACTGTGCCCAGGAGTTTTGCTTTTTGCATCCCATCGCTATTTAATTCAAGTCAGCGAAGGGCCAAGCTTGAAGTGACGGTGGCCAGCTTAGCCATTTAAAAATTGCTGGGCAGTTCTGCTTTCAGTGGCTTTTATTATTTGTTCTTTTTTTGAAAAAAATTATTCTTTACGGACCTGTAATGGCCCCGCATGGCTCTTTTTGTAGCAGGAACTCCTTTGCATATTAGGCCACACACCCCTAATGTAGCCAATCCTCCAAGAGCTTACAGAGCTCTTCTGACAGGAGCTACTGTAAGCTCTTGGAGGATTGGCTACATTAGGGGTGTGTCGCTTAATATGCAAATGAGTACCTGCTAAGGCCCCGGGATCCACAGAGGAAAGGTAGGGTCTAAATGTTTCAAAACGATGCATAGAAGAAATGAAAGAAGGGTTCAAAGGACGATTACAGTATATCTAAAGCTATTTTATTTAATGAGGAGAGGCTACTGAATCAGCCCATCTGAGAAATGTCTGGATATTACAGATTTACGCTGGCAAGTGCAGGGAAGTCCGTCCCCTTCCCCAAATATTTGCAAAATTCAAGTGGAAAAAAAATCTCTCTGAACACATTCACAAATAACTGTTCCCCCCCCCCCGCCCCACTCGGAAAAAAAAACAAAGAAAATAAATAATCCCACTGATGGAATGGGGGTGAGGTGCAGTGAAAGTTCTCCCCGTGGTCATTCTAAGTAAGCAGTCAATCCATCTAGGTTATCTGATGCATCCCAGTGAGGCTAGGCTACTGACGCTTGAATCAGAGCGGGCGATTCAAGATCCCAAATCTAGTGCAAATTTGGTTGGAAGAAAAGAAAGAGGCATTTAGAAGAAGATCCAGCATACCGGTTTCTGGCTTTTTGCAAACAAAACGGCAGATTTTGATCCTCCCAAATATAGATTTTTGGAGGAATTGGCAATGAGGTCCTCGCTATGTTTACGGGATAATTTTGTCAAAGTACGGCAGGTGTCTTAAGGTTCAAATGGCTTCTAGTAGAGCTTAGAGAGAACAATTTCCCCCCTGCAGGATTAGATGCTGGTGTCAGGAAGGGGATTAGGGCCAATGATGGACGGGAGGGCAATAGAGGGTTGTTGTGTGTTTTTTTTAAGAGAGTTATATTTATCCTGGATCTGCTTCATAAATGCAGAGCTCTCTGATTGCTCAATGGCCCGGCAAACGTTCCAGGAAATGTTGCAACCCATGTTATGGAGTGGAAGAATATATATAATATATATATTTAATTTTTTGATTGGTTTTTTTTTAAAGGAGAACCAAAAAAAAGCTAAATAAGGAAAAGACACAGGATGTTAATGATGTCATTGGTTCGAGAAGCATGCAAGCGTTTCGCGGGGAGAGCACACTACACCTTCCTGTGCCGGGAGGAGGAGGAGGGGGGGTACCTTCAAGGCGTCTAAATTTGCTCTGCTTCTAAAAGGAGACTTTTTTTGATACAGAGAAGTCCACTGAAATCACAAACAGACAAAGTAAAAAGGCAGAAAGTGAGACACAGAAGAAAACAAGCCAAGGAGACTCTTGCAAAGAGATACAGGCACATCTCCGAGAAAGGGAGGGAGGGAGGGAGGGGAGGAGAAGAAGAAAACATACGGGGACAACACACAAACTTTTACAAAAAAAACACAGGAACAAAAGGGGGAGGCAGCAACCTTTTGGAAACGAGTAAGCCTCTGAAAATTGACAAAAGGTAATAAGCAACGCCACGATCGCACAGGAGCACAGAAAAGCTGCCGGGCCGGCTGCCACAATCTAGCTTTCTGAGAATCATTAGTAAAGGTAAAGGTTTCCCTTGCTCAAGAGCCAGTCGAATCTGACCCAAGGGGGCGGTACTCATCTCCTTTTCCAAGCCGAAGAGCCAGCGTTGTCCAAAGACATTTCCGTGGTCATGTGGCTGGCATGACTAAATGCCAAAGCGGACAGAATGGTGTTACCTTCCCACTGAAGTGGTACCTATTTATCTACTTGCAATTTCTTGCTTTCAAACTGCTAGGTTGGCAGGAGCTGGGGCCAGAGACGGGAGCTCACTCCGTCACACGGCACTCGGGTCTCGAACTGCCGAGCTACAGACCTCCCGGTCTGCCGCTCAGCGTCTTAACCTCTGAGCCACCACGGCCCCCTGAGAATCATTGCTACCCTTAAAAACATCTCCAGTTTCTGGTCATTCTGGCCACAGTATTGTACTTGACAAATCTCAGAAGCCAGAGGAGTTGCTTAAGATAGCTCATAGCCCCTCCCCAGGACCGACTGTAGCAGAATGACACCAAGCCGTCAAAATTGCAGGAGAAATTACGCACAACCATCCAAAGATGCCTAATCTGTACTGTCCATATAACTCTCAGAACCCCACTTCTCCCAGAATTTGGGTTGCCTTGGTGAAGAATACACACAGCCCGGGGGGGTCATGCATCTCACTGAATTAGTCTGCCTGCTTCTCATAGTGTGGAGGGAGGTATCCATGCCCCTCCATTGTAGTATGTCCCTCTAGCATGTAGAAAGTTAGCATGTCAGAGAGACATACTACAATAGGACCCCCATCTTGACACTCATTTCTGGGGGACAGCTAGGTTAGACCTCTTCCTCTCTGACACACTAGCTTTCTAAATGGGAGCAGACTTATTTTTTCGGGGTGAAGTAGACTACTAATTCCTCTACACGAGAGAAAGTGAGTCTGTAAAGGAGAGGCTAAGATGGATCCCTTCTTCCTGACTTCCGGTTTTCTATGCGGAGAGGAGACGCAGGAACATTCTGTCACACAGACCTTCACTTGCCATAGGAAGCAATGTTGCACGGACACAGGCTCACCACCTCCATGATAATGGTGCTAGAATTCACCATGAAACATATACATTTATGTATTATTAGATTTATATCCCGCCCTCCCCAAATGGGCTCAGGGCGGCTAACAACAGAGGCAAATGCCATAACAAACAATTAAAACAGCATAAAGCACCCTGCTCGATACAGAACCACCTTGCAGTGAAGCTGGGGTCAGCCCCAGGACCTATTTGTTGTTCAGCAATGGTTGAGCAATAAGGAAGAAGAGGGCAACTAAAAGCAGCAAACAGCCAGCTTGAGGTGGTGGGGAAACATTTGTCATAAGAGAGTTGCATGAGTAGTCTAGCGTAGAGGGGGCAGCAGAGACAGAGGGTCTTCTGCATTCTCAGTTTCCTTGCTTGTGTTTTCCTGCTGTTCTTCACCCCTGTTATTCATGTGTTTTGCTCCCTCTAGTGGTTGATTTGATATTACATTGCTTTATGTCCGGTATAAAAACCTGTCGTTTAAATCGGCAGGGAGATACGTCAGACATACAATCTTGAATCAACCACTAGAGGGAGCCAAACAGATGTGGAACAGGAACCCCCCCCCCCAAAGCAACAGGAACTAATAAGCAAGGAAAATGTGAATGCAGAAAAGCCCAGAGAATGACCCAGTCGTCCCTCCCCACACACACACACACCTTGGATACCAGGAGAACTGGTTTATTTTAGCAATTGTAGTGATTGTTAAATACTGTTTTCATTGCTTTTGCTCTAGCCCAGTGATGGCGAGCCTTTTAGAGACCGAGTGCCCAAACTGCGACCCAAAACCCACTTATTTATCACAAAGTGCCAACACTGCAATTGAACCTGAAAGACTGAGGTTTTACTTTAGAAAAAACAACTCGTACGTTAAGTTAAGATGATCCAAACAAAGTAAGGCAAGCAATCCCAAATGCTTTCATTTCCTTAAAATTATTTGGCAGAGAATTCGACACTTTAATGATGGTCTGGGCCTGGCTGGGGCGATGGCACGCGTGCCCACAGAGAGGGCTCTGAGTGCCACCTCTGGCACCCGTGCCGTAGGTTCGCCACCACTGCTCTAGCCCAACAGCTCCATAGCCAGGAAACTAGCCAGGATTAAGCCAGGGTACCTGCACTGGTACATCACTCAAAGCACGATGACTGCATCCATACAGACCCAAAGTAATCACAGTTAGTGGAGTGGTTGGCATTCAAACAACCACACTAACTGTAGTCAGTTGACTTAAACGGTGGTTTTGTATAATGTCTGAACCGAGTCTAGCAGCGAGAGGGGCACGCCACTTTTAATCTTTGTATTCCCGGTTGTTACCTTTGCAGCTCACTGAAAGCAGGCCTTTCATAGGACTGCAACGGGAACATACCTCAAGGGATTCCCAGTGTCCCAGTTACTGATCTACTTCTATGTTTCTTCAAAGAGGAGTTAGCGTCCCCAGGAAGCTTGCCCCCCTCTTTCTCCATTTGTAAGTGCTCCTGTCCCTCTCATGTCTATCTATTCCCCAATCTTTGGCAGCACACAAATTGTTTATCATTTTGCTTCTGTTTTTAAAAAGACCCTTTGGTTGCTTTGCCTAGGTACAGGAAGAAAAGGATCGGGGGGGGGGGGCCTTCCAGGTGCCACTCCTTTGCTTCTGCCCCTGCAATAGTCCAAGTCCCAACCCTCCTCCCTCAGCCCCCCCAAAAGAAATAAGCATTTTGTGCAAAAAGCAATGAAACACAAGTACGAAAACGAAACATGCAAGTCAATTTCCAGTTGACATCTGAGGTTTCTTCTAATGGAACACTGGATGTGTTCTACCTCAAAATTCCACTGCATCTACCCTTCCCCAGCTGGCTTGCAAAAAAAGCATAAAGAATCTGACGCCTGTGACCACCCACTCTTTAATCCAATGTCATACAGTTAACCTGGAAAGGAAATCTCTTTATCTAGTAGTAACATGAGACTTGGGCTGGGATCTTTGGGACTCAAACAAACAAACAAATACCTTTATTGGCATAAAATATAATCTTTGGGACTCAATAAGACCAGAGCTAAAACTACCGCATAAAGGATTGATGGCCAACTTAGTCCCACAGTGCCCAACAGACAGCACTGGACTCCCCTACTTCTCTGCAACTACAGAGTAAAAGCAATTTGACTAATGCATAATATGAATAGTTTACAGTCCATGATTCTGTACAGCCTACACTGGAGCAGGTTCAACACTTCACCTCTGTGCACTACGGTTGAAACTAAAAAGTCTAGAAAGTTCCAGAAAGAATTCCTGGGGTTCCTCATCATGTTGGAAGAATTCCTGGGGCTCCCATCATCAAGTCGGTCATGAAGTGGAAAGAACATCCATACCTTGCATTTTCCTAACATATGGATGTTTTGTTTGTGGAGACTGTATTTTATAAACAATGACATGAAACGTTAGGGGGGAAAAGAATAAAAAGATACTCACCCAGCCTGAGGGAGGAGGGTTTCGTGTGAGCTAAGGCAGTAGGCCAGAAATGAGAGACCGCACGAAGGGAAGAAAAGAGAGGACGGACAAAGGAAGAAGGCAAAAGAAAAGGAGCAGAAACACATTGTGGTGTGCATGTAAGGAGGAAGGCATCTACCGCAATTATTCTTAGGGCTGCGAATACGCTACGATTCTGTGGCAGCACAGAAAATCCAGAAGGTTGTAGCAAGAGAGAATCACAGTGTTACGTTTTTAACACAAGATTGACCTCCCAAACCACACTCACAATTTCCTAGTGTTCATGGCCTCAGTAGCCAGGGACTGGAGTTCAATGCCCTTTTTTGGCTCCTTTCCACCCCCACAAGTCAGAAGCAGAATACATTACACAAAAGAAGAGAAAGTCATTTTTTCAAAGAGCACATTTGCACAATTTTCAAAGGGAAGGAGGGAAACTGACAGGTCTTTCAAGCTCCAGCCTGTAAACTAACAAAGCTCTCAAATATAGCTGTCTCATCAGGCAGCTCCACTGCAGTCCTCTGCAGGCTCAGGGGATCTTGGAAGCGCACTACAGATCTTACGGCTGATCAGATTAACCCCCACTTCCAAACAGCCAAACAGCCTTAGAATGTGCAGATAAGCTGTATTTTCTGCAAGCAGCTGTGAAACCTGAACATGCTGGGGCTGGGGCTGGAGATCACATTCCCCCAGTAATTAAAAAGACTCACCACAGGCCTGGCCATAGGCACTAGCTTGGACAAAGAGAACGTAAAGAGGCGGTGGGAGGTGCCTGGCTGTCTCGTACTGCTTGTGCACCTGGTCAAAAGGTAGTGAGAGGTACTCTTGGACAGGGAGAGAAGCCTGGTGGGAAAGAGATCAGATGCAAAATTATGCCACGGCTAGTGCTAAAAAGCCTGGATGACACAACACAATGTAAGAAGCTTTTTTCTGTGCTGCTGACATATTAATGTTGACTTGTTTTACCATCTTATGTATTTCAACAATGATCAGAAAAAAATCTGTAAAAGGAAGATAACTTTAAAAAAAAATCCTTGATTAAAGCTACCCAAGATAGGAACCATTATTTGCACCTTGTCCAAAATTAATTAGGCTCTTGGAGCTCTTTAAAAAAAAGAAAAATTGACCAGGCTCATGATCTACCTGCATAATGCTATTGAGTCGAGGCTGGAGGTTGCTCAGATATTCCTTCTTCACTTCTATCTCTTTCAGAATCTTCTCTTTGTTGGCTAGGCATTCTTTATATTTCTCTGCCAACCTAACAAGGAAGATTCACAGTTAGCAACAGTGAGTTACAAGGAGCAGAGATGCTGTTCAAGGTCTTTTAGTCAAACACCTTGGCTAACTATTTCAAGGTGTTCATGTAAACAGGTAAAATCACTTGCCTGCCATTTCTCTCCTGATCCAAACTGTTTCCTATAATAATAGAGTGCTGCCAAGAAGCCACTGACTTACGTGAGATAGGTTAGGCTGAGAGAATGACTAGTAGGGGTGTGCATTTGGCATAAACTGAGCTGAAAAAAATATCCCCAAAAAACAACTTACCGGTATTTTAGGGGTATTTTTTAAGTCGGTTATTGATTCGGGCTTAATTTTGGTTATCTGAAATGGCCAAGCACCCAAATTATTCCAGATTTTCAGAACCACCAGATATACGAAGTTAAAGGGCATTTAAAGGGATTGCAATCCCTTTAAATGCCTTCCGGGTGAACTCACCACTTGGATAAGGTGTTTATAGGGATCACGGTCCCTTTAAACCAGGGGTGTCGAACTCATTTGTTATGAGGGCCGGATCTGACATAAATGACACCTCTTGCTCTGAATTATTGCATCAAAATGTCTGTAGCAATCTTTTTTTTGTTACTATTTTTTATTTTTATAAGTCCTTTACTACAGTGTTAAACATTAGGTACATGTAAATCAATTTACTCAGTCAAGTTATATATACTTCACTGCATACAAGACTAGTCTCTGTCTCAAGGATCTTACAGTCTAAGATTTGACAGAAGAGACATAAGAAGGGAAAAGGAGATGGAGGCAGGGTGAACATGCATTTATCGCGTTACATGTGCTTCAGCTTACTTTTGGTGTGGGAAACGGGGGACCAAGGGTTTCTATCAAAGACTTGATTATTATACTACAGGTTGGGGCAGGGAAGCAGAGATAAGAATGCCAGCACACCTAAGGTCACCTTAGTGGCACATCCGAACAACAATTAGCATCCTCACCGTTTGCGCTGCTCCAGCTCCCAATCGAGACGGGAAAGAGTCTGCTGGTGAGGGTCATCAGTTGTGACCTCCGGCTTGCTGATTTCTGGAGGGGCTTCTTTGTAGAACTCTTCAGTGCTCACCAGCTCAATTTCCTCATGTTTGGATCTGGAGAAAGAAACCAGAAGCTGCATACGTAGCTCGAGGACAATACCTTGCCTTGGCCCAGTGGGCGTCATTTACTGGGAGGACCATAAGACTCAATGGCTACAGGTTGGAGGAGGGAGACCTGAAAACTGTGCTTTTAAAAAGGAATTCTGGATCCTTCTGCCTTCTAGGAAGATACACAGGACATAGGACCAGTTGGAGACTCACCAAGCAGTCTAACAGGCAGCAGCAGAGGGGGGAGTGTGGGGTGGGTGCAGGACTTGGGAGATCATATTGTCAAAATCCTGTTTTCTCTATTCATGGGGGAACAATTCTGGTTTGTAAGGAAGGGTAGGTCCATCATAATGACAAGCTTTTTACTAGGGCTTCTTATGAAAGCTGCAAAGGAGTAGCCGTTTTAATTCTGCTATAGCAAAGTAAAATAAAAGCCTAACAACATTTATATCCTAAATAAAATTTTCAATATGAGCTTTCATGAGTCACAGCTCACTTGTGACTCATATTGAAATTTTTATTTAGGATATAAATGTTAGGCTTTAAGATGCCACTGGACTTTTATCTCATTCTTATAAAAACCCTTCAATGAAGTCACACATTCTTCTCCATTGCAAAGGAGAAGACTCTCTCTCTCTTTCTCTGAAAGCCTCATTGCTACTGATGCTGCCCAGACTTCAGCCTTTCCACCCTCAAACCACATTCCTTTTCTTTTCTTTTTTTTAAAAGGAATTTTATTTTTTATAACAGAAAACAAACAAACATAAATACATACAAGTTGGGGGGTTCCATTTACATCTTTGTTATGTCTGTTACCTCATACATTGTCTACTTGTATATTATCTATTTTAACACCATGTATTTTGTATAAATACTTGCATTATAATTAAAGATATAGTTCGTATTTTCTTCTAATATGGTTATATGACCATAATGTTTATTTATTGTAGTCTTCCAACCATTTGTATTTTCAAAGCTTCCTTCATCTTGTCCTCTCAAAATTAATTATCCATCTCTGCAGTTTCAAGTATTTTGTTTATCATTTCTTCTTTTGAAGGCACTTCATTTTTCCTCCAATATTTAGCGTATAAAATTCTTGCAGTAGTCAATACATGTATAATCAGGTATAAATCTTGTTTTTTACAGTTTTCAAGTTTTATATTCAATAAAAACAATTCAGGTATAAAAGGTATAGTACATTTTTGGTAACATTTCATGAATCTAAGACCAATACTTTTTAACTTTATCACAAGTCCAAAGAACCAACTTTTTTTTAACATTTCCAGCAATCATTTGATAAATTCAGATAAGACATTGCTAGTTTATCTGGAGTCATATACCATCTATAAAACATTTTATAGATATTTTCTTTATATGAGGTTGCTTTAGTAATTTTTACATTTAATATTATATTATACATCTTTAATATTATAAGCTAGTCGCTAGCACTTTTTAGTTTTAATGAATTGTTTTAGATACTTTATATCTTTATTGTATTGTGTTTTTATGATGTTAGCCACCCTGAGCCTGCCATGGCAGGGAGGACGGGGTACAAATCTAAACAAATAAATAAAATACGTTTATTTCCATACCTGTAACCACTGGTCTACATCAATATTATGACCCAAGTTTTGTGCCCATTTAACCATGGAATCTTTAACTATTTCATCCTGTGTTTTGTTTTCCAACATTATTACATATAGTTTCTTAATCAGTTTCTCTTCAGTATATAACAATATCTTATCTGTTTCTGTTATTTTTGAGTAGAAACCTATTAATTTATCTTTTGTATATCTTGAGTCTATTTGTGCTCTTTCCCACCAACTTAACTCGGATTCTTGTTTTTTAAATATTTTCTGTTGGTTTTAGTTAATTGCTATTATCCAACAAATCTTCATATTTTAACAATGCATTCTTTTGAAATAAGTTTGGATTTGTAAATGCTTCAGGTGGTGAGACCCATTTTGGTATCTTAGTGTAGAAAAGTCTTTTCACTTCTTCCCATACCCTCAGTAGAGATCTCCTAATAAAATGTTGTTTGAAATATTTATGCGTATCAACTTTTCCATATCATATAAACGCGTGCCATCCCAGTAATAAATCATGTCCCTCAAGCACTAATACTCTAGAGTTTTCTAATGTAATCCATTCTCTTAACCATGCCAATGAAGCTGCTCTATAATATAAAAGCCAGTCTGGTAGTGCAAATCCAGCTCTTTCTTTTGCATCTTTTCAGTTTTATTCTTGGTCTCTTGGTATGCCATATAAATTGTTTCATCAGTTTATCAAGTTCTATAAAATATTTTTGATTTTGGAGGATTGGAAGTGTTTGAAATAAAAAGACCAATCTTGGTAAAATATTCATTTTTATTGTAGTTATCCTTCCCATCAAAGATATTTGTAGATTTTCCCATCTTTCCAAATCTTTCTTAATTTCCAATATAAATTCCATATAATTGTCTTCCATCAAAGAGCTACATCTGTTTGTTATGTTTATTCCCAAGTATTTCACCTTTCTTTTTTTTTTACTTCCAAACCTGATCTTGTATCTGTTGGGTTTGGCCTTTAGTCATATTTTTCATTATCATTTTTGTTTTATTAAAATTAATTTTTAGTCCGGCCACAAAGCCACATTCCTTTTCTAAGCTTACTTGAACTCCAGGCATTTTGTGATCTCCTTCTGCAGGTGCATGACTTCATACAACAGATTCTGTAGCTGCAAGTGATATGCGTCCACCTTCTGTTTGGCCTGCATCAAAATACACAGTGGAAGCATTAAGATGCAGAGCATGTAAAAAACACAACTACATTTCCAAAGACAAAATACACACAAGTGACGAGACCCTAAAAGGCAGATAAACTGGTGTGAATCATTGTGTATAGAACTGAATGAAGGCACAGAAGATTTGCACAAACCAATCATACAAAAAGTGGATTTTTCTGTTATCACATGACGAGGTGCAGTCACTAAAAACAAAGAAGCCATAAGCTCAAAAAGCAGCATTGTCACAGATTACAAAGATCTTGCTATTGTTGTAATTCTAGACTAATCAACTGGAAAGAACTGGCGTTGATCTTCATTCATGCAAACCATCACTGGGATTAAAATGTTTGTATATTAAAGACAGTGGATCTAGAAATCTACCTTTTCAGTCTGTGCGCTATACAACCATTAGGACTCACACCACCCTCCTCAGTTCTCTGCCTTCAGCCATACCTCATGAGTCTGGTCCCTTCCCTTCTTTAATCGAATGTGAGCTAAACGGTTGAGTTTCTTCAGGGTCATGAAGTGCACACAGCTCTGAATGCGACGTTCCTCTATCTCAGCAGCCTGAACAGCAGAGAGGACAACAGTTAAACTAATGCATATTTAACTCTTCCCCCTGCTCACCAATTCTCTTCTCTTTCAACCATCCCTCAGTTCTACCAGTGGTTTCCTACCATCCACACATATTCTCTTCCCCTTATGTCCAGATGCCTTACACTGTCTTTGTTGCCTTTGCTTTTCAGCTCCTGGATCTCTGCCATAAGCTTCTGAAGGTCCTGGCAAGTCTGTTTGTAAAGTTCATAATCTTTACTGGGGTCTCGCAGATCAACTTCTGCCTCCTCGCTGTAGTATCTGGCATCCTGTACACATGAACACAATAGAGAAAGACTTAGCACATATTCACTAAAACATTTACGCTCCGCCTTTCCCCTGTGCTGGAGCTGCGGTGGCTCAAGTGGTTAAGACGCTGAACTGCAGGCTGTGGAAGGTCAGTAGTTCAGCAGTTCGAGACCCGAGTTGCCGCATGATGGAGTGAGCTCCCATCTCTAGTTCCAGCTCCTGCCAACCTAGCAGTTCGAAAGCAAGAAATTGCAAGTAGATAAATAGGTACCACTTCAGTGGGAAGGTAACAGCGTTCCGTGCGCCTTGGTGTTCAGTCATGCCGGCCACATGACCACGGAAATGTCTTCGGACAGCACTGGCTCTTCGGCTTTGAAACGGAGATGAGCACCGCAACCCTAGAGTCGGACTCGACTGGCTTTCGAGCAGGGGAACCTTTACCTTTACTCCCCCTGTGGCTCAGAGCAGTTTACAATTCCAAGAAATGAAAACATACAAAATTCAGCAAAACTCCATTTACTTCCCCCATACAGAAGCACCTGCAGCTTTAAACCCATTAAAGGGCCTCACAAATAAGATGGCCTAACAGAGCCTCCTAAAAACCTCTAAAGATAGTACACCTCCTCAGGGAGCCCATTTCACGGCGTGGGAGCCATTACAGAAGAGGAACAGGCTGGCTACCTTAACTGGGCAAACAGCTAAAAGTGGCAGCTAGAAAACCATACTTGCAGATATGTCAAAGGGCACCCTGGTGTAGCACAGGAGGATGAGTTCTCATTGGAGGAGGACAATACTCATCCAAGCCACGCCTTGGCAGACACTTCCTATGAGGTTGGTATTGCCTGCATCGCCTTCAAGCCAGGAGGTTCTAGCATGGACCCATCCACTGCCAGACCTGCTGGACTCCAGGAGCAGAGAAGGCAAAGTGTGAGCACTTGGCAATCCAAGACCTTCTCTCTGCTGAGGGAATGCCAGGATAAAGACATTGTTGGATCCGGGCCCCACTACTCCTCACGAGTAAAGAAGCTCACTCAGGTTGTGTAGAGGAGCTTAACATGGGATTACCTACAAAGAAACTCCCTACATAAGACTGTGGTGAGGGTACAGCCAGTGTGGGTCAACTTGTCTGTAGTCTTACCCCACCAATTGCCTGATCTGCCTGGTATCAATTCTTAGAACCTTGTTACTAAACCCTTGGACTCTGCCTCTGGAATATGTGACTGGACCTTGGACTGTCTTCTGGCTTTGCCTTTGGACTGTGTTATCTGACCCTGGATTTCGGCTTTGGACCATGACCCAAGAACCCATGTTGTAAGATCCTGTAGTTGCCAGGACAAAATACTTCCTTCATGTCTTCTTCTGAAATGAAACATGGTTGATATAGGGTGCTTTTTACTACATTCATTCCAGGACCAGGCTTGTTCTACACACTGGAAACGGGTCCAGCTAAAAGCTAATACTGTGAACACCACATACAGTGCTTGAATTCAGTTACCAGCTTATTCTATAGCTATAACTGAAATAGCAAATGCACACAATATACTCTACAAGACATATTCTACAAGGGGTAATCAAATTATTTCAAGCCTTTTCTCCAAAGTCTGCTTGCAGCAGTATCTTTTTCTATTACTACTACAGCCCTATTATGCTGAATGGTCAAACTCTCATTGAGCTCAATAGAGACCAAACTGACATGTATAGTACACCAAACCCTGCTACTAAGACAGAGTTGACTTGTGTACCGAAGATTGCTTTTTAGACACAGGGAAGAGCTTCTGCTTTGCAGCTACATTGCAAACAAGATCTAATAAATGGTGTGCTTCATCAGCATCCCTGCACTGTGAAGGTACCTGGTCAGCATCTGGCCTGCTTCTCTTGCCCTCCTGTGGTCCTCCATCTGTGCGGATAACCTTGGGCTTCCGTTTCTTGCTGGAATCGGATGACATTTTTTCCCCTTTCAGATTCTGCAGGTGAGGGGGAAAAACCAGTCTCCTAAAGATTCAACAATCATTTTATTGACTTGACTGTGTAGAATGCAGGTGGGGTTTTATAGGGGGGAGGGAGAAAACGCTATTCTTTATTAATACCTATTACAAAAGCCAGCTGTGGTATAGTGGTTAAGAGTGGTGGGCTTTAATCTGGAGAACCGGGTTTGAATCCCCACTTCTCTACCTGAAGCCAGCTGGGTGACCTTGGGCCAGTCACAGTTCCCTCAAAGCTCTCTCAGCCCCACCTACCTCAAAGGGTGTCTGTTGTGGGGAGAGGAAGGCAAGGTGATTGTAAGCCACTCAGACTCCTTCAGGTAGTGAAAAGCAGGGTATAAAACCAACACTTCTTCTTCAATTTACCATTCTTTTCCAGATACCCAAGAGCATCTGTTTCAACTTCCCCCTATGCTGCTAGGATCCAGAGCCAATCAGATACTCACATGCCAGAACAGATATCCAAGAGGACAGCCAACAACACACATGTAAATTCAATATAAAGCAGGCCTCCTCATCCACCTCTTGATGCCATTAGCTATTCCTACATTATTGAGGTACCACTTCTCAGACTAAACTCCTGCTCCTTCTTCTAGTACTTAATTCCTAAAACAAGAGGAGTGGAGGCTCCAGCTCCTATGAAAATAACCTCTAGATGCCTTTTCCACTAAGCTCTGCAACAGGAGACCTCATTATATTACAGTAATGAGTAAAGGTGGGAAGCCTCTCTACACACACTTAGAGGAGCACTCTCCTTTTATTTTACATCACATGTTCCAGAGTAAGGACTTGCCAGTGCCAAAAAGAGCTAGGGCTAGAGTTTGGTCTGTACCCAGCTCATCTCCATCATTCCCCATATGCTGCTAACTCCCGGTTGAAAAATTCCTGGAAATCTGGGGATGGTGCCTGGGGAGGGTGTGGGAAACGGAGGGACCTCAGCGGGGTATAATGCCATAGATTCCCCCCCCCCCACCAAACTGGTTTCAGTTTATTGCCTTTAGCCATAGGCCGTTACAATGACAGAACACCCAAACAAACTGATCTCTGTAGTCTGGGGACCAGTTATAATTCAGGGAGATCTTTAGACCCCACCTGAAGGCTGGCAACGGTGTCCAGCAGAGGAGAAGAATTACAGTTCGACGGCAAAGAAAGAAAGCCCCAGCCTATGAAAAATAAACCCATTCCCGCTTACCGCCGTCGCCTACCAAGACCGCTTCGTAATGTAATTCACGGCTACTCATAACCGGAAGTTCCGGAAGCGGAGGGCAAACGAGTTTTAGCTGCTAGAGAGTCGACGCCAGTCCTCCCGCGCTCCCTTGTGGGGCATCTCGGGAAAGCGTCATTTGGGTCTCTCTCGCTCTTTCTTTTTTCTTTTTTGGTCGGCGGCCGCAGTAACACGTCAGAGTAAAAACAAACAGTAGTGTTCTGTGCGGCGCTTTAAAAGACAAACAGATTTTTAATGTGCACCCGGGAGCTGACAGGATGGGTTGGATTCCCCTTTCCAGATGCCTCATCAGCAGCAGAATCCATGACGCTTGAACTAGTACAGTATCGGAGTCTCAAGTTAACAAACTTTGAGTCCAGTTGGCACCTTTTATTCAAAGTGTAAGCTTTCGTGTGCACTCACACTTCTTCAGACAGGTTGGAACACTCTCTTCTCGTCTTATTGGAAGCAAACGTGGGCGTGAATGCATCTTGTGCAATCTATTTTAGGTTATTTGGTGAAGACCAATACTCCTCAGCCTTGTAGAGCCTACAGGTGTTTCTGGAATTTTGAGAAAGTGTAGAGGGCGTCGCCACCGCCACCAAATAGCTGCCATGGGAGGGGCGGGGGGGGTTACAGGAGGTTGCAAGCCAAACATAGTCCTTCTGAATGGCCACCCCTCTGCAGACCTAAAGACCTGGGGTCTTCTGAAACACCTCTGGTTGCAAAAAATAGTCAGAAGTGGCTCTTTGCTTTGGGGGAAAAGGAGGTAGGCATCTGGAAACACATCAGTGGGCATCACGATACCCTCTGCTCTTAGCTAACTTTCCCACCACCACCTAATGTCATTAGCACATTGTTGTAACAGGCTAAAATAAAACAGAGGTCCCAGGGCATGTTCAAGACTAATTTAAAGAATTAATTCACCAGTTGGAGCCCCCAGGGCTGAATAGGGACATAGGATTCTTCTCACTACATGTGCTAACTTTCTGCCCCCAAGCATTTCCCCTCTGCTCTAATCAAGCTGATTATAGTATGCATTTAGAAGAAAAGCTCTGCTGGATCAGACCTATAGTCCCTCTAGTCCAGCATCCTCTTTCACACAGTGGCCAACCACACCCTCTGGACGGCCAATAACAGGGTATAGAGCAGTGGTGGCGAACCTATGGCACGGGTGCCAGAGGTGGCACTCAGAGCCCTCTCTGTGGGCACACGTGCCATCGCCCCAGCCAGGCCCAGACCATCATTAAAGTGTTGAATTCTCTGCCAAATAATTTTAAGTACATGAAGCATTTGGGATTGCTTTCCTTACTTTGTTTGGATCATCTTAAGTTAATGTATGAGTTGTTTTTTCTAAAGTAAAACCTCAGTATTCAGGTTAAATTGCCGTGTTGGCACTTTGCGATAAATAAGTGGGTTTTGGGTCACAGTTTGGGCACTCGGTCTCTAAAAGGTTTGCCATCACTGGTATAGAAACTGAGGCCTTCCCCTGATGTTGCCTCCTGGCTCTGGGATTCAGAGGTTTAGTGCCCCTGAATGTGGAGGTTCCCGAGTCGCCATGGCTAGTCGCCATTAATAGACTTCTCCTACATTAATATCGAATCCCCTTTTAAAGCTGTTTATTCCCTTGGCCATCCCCTGGCAGCAAATTCCAGATTTTAATCTCTGTGTCAAGTGGTATTTCCTTTTGTCTGGCCTGAACCTACTGCCCATCAGCTTCGTTGGATCCCCTTAAGTTCTAGTCTTTTGGGAGAGGGAGAAAAAGTTTTCTTTGTCAACTCTTTCCACCCCATGCATAATTTTATAAACATCTATCCATGCATAATTTCATAAACATCTATCATGTCCTCCCTTAGTCATCTCTTTTCTAAACTGAAAAGTCCCAGGCTCTCCAGCCTTTCCTCACAGGGAAGGTGCTCCAACCCCCCTAATCATCTTGGTTGCCCTCCTTTGTACTTTTTCCAGCTCTGCAGTGTCCTTTTTGAGATACGGTGACCAGAATTGTACACAGTATTCCAAATGAGGCCACACCATAGATCCAAACAGGGGTATTACAATACCATTTTATTCTCAATCCCTTTCCTAATAATCCCTAGCACAGAGTTTACCTTTTTCACCTTTGTATCTTTTACAGGCATTCTTTACACCATCTCTCCCACCTTCTGACTGGAATAAAAGGACTCAGAAATCTCCAGTCCTCCTTGTGTCTGATGAAGGGAGGAGAGTTTATACCCTCAAAAGCTTATGCCCTAAAACTCTTTCTGCTTAAAATGCTACTAGATGTGACTCTTAACTGTTCTACTGCAGACCAACATAGCTGTCTTCTGAAATTATTGTCATATGTTTTTGTGGAGTAGAGAGATCATTCACCATCGCATACACTGGCAAAAATGCAATTTTCCTACTTTTGATGAGATATCAGTTTCCCTAAAAAACAACAATGCTATCACCATTCTCTGGTATTGTGTATGGTCTTGGCATACAATTCAAATATTATGAACTGGGGGGGGGGGGATTTTGTTGTGTCTGTTTGGAATGATTGGATCTTTTGATCACTCCCAATACAGAGAGAGTTAACAGCTCCTTTTATTAGAAGTGGCATCTTATGTTTTTATGTGAGGGCTTTCTTTCTTTCAGGGAAGATACACCCAGATCAGTACTGCATGCACAAAATGCTCCTTTGAGGAGGAAACCTTTTGGGTTGTAAGAATGAAACCTGGATCATACATTCCAAGGAAGGAGATAGTAGAGATCGGTGGTGATAGAACTAACTGTACCACTCCATACTTCAGTTTTCTATTTGTAGGGAGTTCTTAACATTGGGAAACATTCCAAAATGTGATGATCCTTGAAAAGAAAATTCAAAGTTGGAATCCAGCACATGTGGTACAGTCCAGTTCTATCACCCATAGGCTTTGACAGCTCATTCTTCCATATATGTGAACCAGGACTGAAATGCTCTTCTGAGTTTGGAAAATGGTGTGGCTCAGCTATAAGAAATTTGTAAAACATTGATCTATATCATATCAATATATCTAATTCTCAACATGGCACCATCTGTGGTTACTTAAATCTGGAAACTGAGGCCATGAACAGACAAGATATCTTCCTCCAAACCGGAGAGAATCCCACGTTTGCGGAAAAATCTGAAATCTAAAAAAATACATGCCTAAAATAATAGCAGAGCCTACAATTTTAAGAAAAGAATGCCCTCCCAGTGGCCATTGTGAGAGTTGCTAGGCAACCACAAGAATACTACCAACCTTCAAACCTTGGTTTCTATCATTAAAAGACAGGGGGAGGGACAAGGTCTTTTGTCTTTTCCAGGGCTGTTTGAGGGGGGAGTCATTGGTGCTAGGCCTGCCAGCAATTACCAGACAGCTTGCTACCACCTGACTTCCATGATTTCCCAGGCTTTGCTGCTCCCTTCTCTTCAGCATGTGATATAGTGGGTAGAATTTCAGATTAGGATCTGGGAGAGCTTCAAAGGTCAAGCTATAACAAATAAAATTTGTATTAAAATAAATATATGGTGTAAACAGAATAATTTAAACACAGGGCCTGATTATCAGGCTATATTAAGAGTAATGTTTAATATAAGATACTATAATTTCCTATACAAAGTTGATGTAAATATCAAATGACCAATACAAGACCATACACGTTTCAGCCTCAAAGGCCTTCCTCAGTCGTCAATATAGGGTTGCCAAGTCAGAATTTCGCTGCAGCGGGGGACTCCCGGCAGGCGGCTGGAGTGTTTGTGCATGCGCACACCGCATCCACATCACTCAGAAGTGACGCGACCATGCCGGGCACGCTGGGGGTGGGTCCACGACCATCCGAGGGAAAACTATAGAGTTTCCCCTTGGATGACCGTGGCCCCGCCCCCAGCATGCCAGGCGTGGTCGCATCACTTCCGGGTGACGTGCACGTCGGGGTGGGGTTTCCCCTGGGGCCGATCCGCCGGCAGTGGGGAACGGGCCTCTGGGGCAGGGGTTTCCCCGCCCCCTGGGGGGACTTGGCAAGCCTAGGTCAATAGTATATAGCATAGCTTTTAGAAAGACATCTGGAAAATAAACATTGGATTTTATTGGGTTGATGTTACATACGTCTGGAAAGACTGGAAGTTTTATACCAGATTATAATAGCAATGGATGAATTATGTGTGAGTACAGTTGCCATGTGAATTTAATTTAATTTTTAATTTAATTTAACATTCGGCTTCTATACCGCTCAGACCCGAAGGTCTCAGAGCGGTTTACAATTGTGCTGCAAGTGCAGATTACTCCTAATTCTATGGCCACATATTATAAGGGGTGGGGCTGCCTACCGACACCCGGGTGGGTTCGCTGTTCTCGGCTCTCTTTCCTCGGCGGTCCACTGGGGTTGGTCCGCATCCGCGGCCAGTCCTTCTCGTCTTCGATCTTCCGGCGCACGGCCTGCGGTAGCCTCGGCCCAGCTGTGTCTGTATCCGGCTCCGCTGCACCTGCGCCGCTCACGCTGCCGTGTGCTCCTTCGTCGCTCCACCTCCACTGTTGCCAAGCGACTTGATGCCGAGTGCTGGACGCTGTTGTTCCATTGGCCACCAGGGATTGCCGCACCGCACCGCCGTCGCCATCGCTGCTGCTGAAGCTCCACCACGTCCCCACTTGGAGGAGGGTGCCCCCTACCCTTCTAAGGGTAGGTACCCATTTATCTACTTGCATTTTAAACTTTCGAACCGCTGGGTGGGGTGAAAGATTCCATGGTCATAAGCTTGCATCCAGCCACACAATATATGAGATAACATCACCTGGTCAGGATTGATTTATATTGTTTATTCTAGATCTCTTAATATAGTCTGATATGATATCAGGCCCTGTGTTTTTAATTATTTTATTGTGTATAACATATAATAAATATATTTATTTTAATACAGTTTTTATTTGCTATAGCTTGACCCTTGAAGCATTCCCAGTATATCTTGGCTTGAGTTTGTTTCCCCCTTCTCCTTTGTTAGGATCTGGGAGACCCAGTTTTGAATACAAACTTTGCCATGTGTTCATTCATG